CTTTAAATTCAAAATAAACCAAAAATTAGGTTTAATAATTATATATTAATTAACTTTTAATTAATTTATTATATTTTGGGAGGATTATCTAAATAAATTAAACAATTAATTTAATCTTAATCCTAAACCCTCTAGATTTCAAAAGTTTAGGGTATAAGATAATTATCCAATTAATCTAGTTAAGCAACAATTATCCAAACAAGGAATCCTAAAACCCTAGGGTAATTTTGAAATCAAGGGAGGGAGGCTAGGGTTTTTCAAAACCCTAACCCTAATTTCGATTAGGGTCTATGGAGTCTAGGGTTTTTCAAAAACCCCTGAACCAAAACCCTAATTTTGAAAACTTTGGCCTTTAGGGTTTAATAACTATAAACTCTAATTTGCAATTCAACTATTATAGCAATTCAATTTAAAACAAAACCAATGGCTCTGATAGCACTAATGGGTTTTAGGTAAAACAAATAAACTAGAAAAACCAATTCCTATGTTCACATGCAACCTACTTTGGATCTATGTTTTAACTATTGAACATATAACTTTGAATTGCAAAACAGGAACCCTAAAGGGAGAGTCTATTTTTGAAAATAACTAATTAAGGTTTTAGAATCACATACCTTTCAGTTGTTATAGTAACAATTGGTAATCCTTGATCTTGATCTTCTTGGAAGCCTAGCACCACAATTGTAATGTCTCTAATGGAGTCACACCCAAGAGCTAGCAAGAAGGAAAGTATATATATATATATATATATATATATATATATATATATATATATATATATATATATATATATATATAGAGAGAGAGAGAGAGAGAGAGAGAGGAGTATGAAAGGCCTAGGGTTTATTCTAAAGAAGGAGTGTCACATTTGAGAGCCAAACGACTCCTTTTATAGTTGATGAAGCTAGGGTTTCAGAGAAAACCCTAATGTTCCTTTGCTTAAGTTCCAAGCTAATTCATAGTCCTTTACTAAATCCCTTAGACAAAATCATTAGGGTTTGCCCATGTACTTCACAATTAATACAATTAACCCCAAAATTAATTCTAATTAATTTATGGCTAACTATTAATCAATCATTATGATTTCTAATTAATATATTAATCTCATAACATATTAATAAGTCATTTATATTAATTTATTAATCTTATAATACATTAATCCCTTTCCATTCATAGTTTCCTTGTCCAGTTTCTAGGTTTGAGGGCAACCCAAAAGGACTGTGCTACTATCAATTCAAATACATACCAATTATAATTATGGGTTTAGACACCTAATCCAACAGTATCTTCATGAAATGAGTCGAGATAAATCTAAGTCACTCTTATGAGATGAGGTAAGTGGGTTCAAGAGAAGTAATGCAAGTGATTATGCATTTAGGCCATAAAAAGTGAAATGAGATTTTTTTGCCGTTTGTTCCAAGTTTGTGACTTAATAGATTAAGACCCATAATAGGTTAGTCTGAAGTGACTTAATGGAGTTATAGTACTCATCCCCACCTTTGTGTAGATATAAAGCTCATTGAAAATAGGTTTAAAATGAAGAAGTTATGATTGTTTGGAGTTAGAAGAATATCTGTCCCAAAACTTTACTGGAATCAGCTTAGGACTTACTGAAGTACATGAACCACGATACGGTAAGGACTTTACCTCAACAGAGTTTACGTAACAATAAATAGGCAAAAAAAATTATCGTAAGTAAAGGGCAGTGTACTTTACACCATGACGTGGTAGTATGGGTTACCACGATATGGAGGCGAAAGTAGGATTCTATAAGAGAAAGGTACTACAAATCGGTTAGAGGGAGATTACAACCTAATTAGGTGAACCACGTCGCGATAGACATATTGTCCCGGCGTGGTTACATAGTTTGGAAAAAGATTAAACGATCTTAAGGTTCATTTATGAACTAATTTCTCCCAAATTCAATGGAGAGCTGATGGATGGTGATTTTGAACCCAAGAGCATGCCAAACATACCAAGTTGAACTAGAGATAGAGCATTACAAGGATTAACATCCTTTTTTCTTAAGGTAATGACTTCCCTCTTTAATGGAGCTTTGAGCTTTGATGGTGAAGTTGTTAGTTTGGTTTGATTACTTAAGTTAAGCAACCTATAACTCATATGGTATGTTATTGAGAGTGCTTAGAAGCTTTGAACAAGCTTTATATTTGATTCCATGGTGAAATCCATATATGGATAGTTAGGTTTCAAACCCTAACTAGTGAGAGAGATGAATTGATGCAATAGAGTTTAGAGTGTAATGAAGTAGGTAGTATGAGATGCTTAATTCATGGGGTATAATAGATTCCTAGACAATGAGATGTTAGAATTATGATCAATTAAGTGATCGTTTTAGTATGAAGAGTGATTAAGCTCTTAATGGGCAAAGATAAGTTCTAGGAATTCTGATATGTTGTATGAATAGGCCTTGGGTAAAGAAGATTAATTGAAGATTAGAAGCCAATGGTAGTTAGTTTCACTAACTAACAAGGTGAGTTATAACTCCCCCGCTAGATTATGATTATATGTATTATAATCTTATGAATATATATATATATATATATATATATATATATATATATATATATATATATATATATATATATATATGATTAAATGTAAATGATATTAAGATTAAATACCTACAAAATATTAGATGAAGATAGAGTATGATTATATGGATTATAATCGTATGGATGATTATATATGTAAGAGTATATTTAAATGATATTATGTTAAATACCTACATTTTATTAGATGGAGATTTAAACTAAGTACTTAATGAATTAAGTACTAGGTTAATAGTAGAAAGATGATTCCTTTGGGAATGTAGAAAGATGATTCATTCGGGAATGTAGAAAGATGATTCCTTCGAGAATGAGATTATGTGTGTTTGAAGAAGATTAAGAAAGGTTTCCATGAATGGAACAAGGTAAGAGGTTTCTATTAAAGAGCCTTGATAAGTAATCCATGAGGGATTATGGGTAGAGAATTCGTAAGGGATCATTGTAATCCACGAGCAATACAAGAAAAAAAAGTTGCCAAAGGATCTGCGAGGGATCAAGGTGAGGGGACTAAGTCCGGATGATTGTACACTAGTAAGTCAGAACTATGTTGTTCTCCTAGTTGATAGGTGAAGCTATCATATGGGTGATTAGACTGGTTGGGTCTAAATGGGAATAGAATGGAAAAGGGTGAGAAGATGAAAGTATAGAGACAGATTGTGAGAAGAAATGCAAGCAGAGTATGCGAAGAGGTGAGCAGATGTGATGAGGATAGAGTATGAGTATGTGAAGAGGTAAAGATAGAGTAAGGGAAGAGTATGAGATGAGATGAGAGAGGTACAGATAGAGCAAGAGAAGAGTATAAGATGAAATGAAGATAAAGTAAGAGTATAAGAAGAGGTAAAGATAGAGTAAGAGTATAAGATGAGATGAGAAAGGGTGCAGATAGAGTAAGAAAAGAGTATAAGATGAGATAAAGATGGAGTAAGAGTATAAGATGTAAAGATAGAGTAAGAGTATGAGATGAGATGAGAAGAAGTGCAAAATGAGTATGCGATGAGATGAAGATAGAGTAAGAGTATGAGAAGAAGTAAAGATATGAACATGAGAAGAGGTGAGAATATAGTAGAGTATTAAAAGATGAAAATATAAAAGAAGAGTGCAAGAAGATAAGATTAGAGTGAAAGAGCATGAGAAGATGTTAGAATGGCAGAGTATGAGTAGAAGAGAACAAAATGGTAGAGTATGAAAAGAAAGAAAGTAAAGAAGAATAGTATGATGACATAAAAACAAAGTATATAACTCACTAGACTTGTTGTATGATGTTGTAGATTTTCATGTGTTGCAGGTTCAGGTAGTAGCTGTTGTACTGGAGGAGATAGGAGCACCAAGGACTTGGACTAGATATAACTTTTTATTTGGTACTTCCTTGTTGCTTTAAATTATGGGTGTGATATGCTATAAGCCCGATAATATCCTGAAATGTAAAATACTTTCAAAATTTAGAATTCCACATTTGTATAGAAAAAGTCTCATAAATCTCCATAATATTAGTTGAGAAAAATCAAGTTCAAATCCTATAGACCCATGTTCAAATTCTGGCACCACTCAGCCCTTGTGGCCATGGAGGTTCGCCTGCAGTGACTCCAGGGCATGATGCAAAGCTTTATGTTTGCAGTAGGGGATTAGTCGGTACGAAAGCTGGCCCGGAAACCCTCGTTAGGGAAGTTCCATTTCCAAAAAAAAAAATCAAGGCGTTACATATTATGTGCATATTAAGAGAATGCAAAATGGAAAGTTTAGTAGGAGAGTTGAGTGAGGTGGAAAACTTAGTTGTCATTCAATGGACACACATGAAAAACTATATGAATGGTTATACAATTAAAGATAGGGAAAATGACTTAAAAGCCCAATGAAGTTTCGAAACCATTCAAAAAAACTCAATCATGTTTTGTTTGTTCAAAAAAACCCAACGAACTTAACCTTTTGTTTAAAAAGTCCAACAAAGTTTCAAACCTTTCAGAAAATTCCAATTTTGTTTTGTTTAAGTTCGTTGGGTTTTTTTTGAACAGTCAAAACATGATTGGAGTTTTTTAAACGTTTTGGAAACTTCGTTGGTCTAACAAGTCCTTTTTCCGATATGATAATAAGCCACATCATCTGTTTCTCTTATTTGACTTTCGAGAAAGTGTAACTTAGTTGAGCTTTTTAGATAAAATGTTAAGTTTGTTGGGTTTTTTTGAACAGACAAAACATGATTGAGGTTTTTTAAACGGTTTGGAAACTTCGTGTTGGACTTTTAAGTCATTTTCCCTTAAAGATACCATTATGTTTGCTCACTATATTAATTTATACGAAAGAATATGCATATCATATAACTTGGGCTACAACGTACATGTAATTAATTTTTCGAAAATAAACGAATAAATTAATGGCAAATATCCATCCATTCAGCTAGTAATGTTTTAGATAATTAATGCCGGCATTGGTGGTTAATTATGGGGAGAATGGTGTCCCAAGGGCTAGCAAGGGAACCTTCCGATGATTAGCGAGACCAAAAGTTTCATTCATATCTACGTCCTGTGGCCTAACTCCTTGTGGCAGAGCCCAATCGAACCTGTACAAAACATTCGCCAGCACCTTCTCATTGATGGCCATGGCAAATATCCTTCCAGGGCAACTCCTCCTTCCAGCACCAAATGTAAGCAACTCAAAATTGTGTCTCACGAAATCAATAGATGACTCCAAGAACCTCTCCGGCATAAACGTTTCAGGTTTATCCCACACTTTAGGATCTCTCATAATTGCATAAACATTGACGTATACCCTAGTTCCTTCTGCAATATCATACCCCATTACTTTGGCGTCGTGTCTTGCAACTCGTGGTGGTAGAACCGGAAGGGGAGGATGGAGGCGGGTGGCTTCCATGATGACGCATTTTAGATACTTCATCTTCTCCACATCGTTGTCAGTTATGTGTTTCTTTCCGTTAAGGACTGACCTTATCTCGGCCTGGACTTTCTCAAGGCAATCACGATGTAACAGAAGTTCAGTCATCGCCCATTCCAGTACGGATGATGATGTATCCGTACCAGCAACATACGCATCCTACATACAAATTAAAATAGGTCAAAACAATTAGTTTAGTACGTGGCTGATTCATTCAATTATTGCCATGTATATATACGATGAAAAGAGATTTGTATAGATATTATACCAAGAGCAGTGCTTTGATGACGTCTGCGTCGATGGTGATGCCAAGAATATCTTCCTTCTGAATCTTGAGTAGTGCATCAATGAAGGTCTCCACACCATGTTCATCACCACTTATAACTGGATTAGGGTTATTTCTTTTCTTGGATAAAGTCTCATCAACCACATTTTGAAGGAACTCATCAAAATCCACCGCCACCCTATCGACTTTAGCACTAAGACCTGTAATCCGATCCACGAATGCAAGCTGAGGAATAGAATCCTCAAAATAAAAGCTACCCAGCACCTCGGAGAAGTCTTGCATGATCTTTTTAAATTTCTTACCAATCTCTCCTTCGTTATACGTCCTCCCAAACGTCGCCATGCATGTGACATCGTTCGTAAGTGAGCTAAACAAGTCGCTCAAGTCCGCAGGCTTGTTTGACAAGAAACATTGGGTGATTTTAGTGAGGCAATCGCCAATTATCTTTTCCCTGAGTCCATCAAAAGACTGGACCTTTTTGTTACTCAGAAGCTGGAGAGTTAGAATACTCTTTGCTTGCCTCCAGTATTCACCATAAGGAGCGACTGTTATTTCCTTGAGATCGTAGGAGATGGTCCTGAACATCCTGGTGGTGGGCCTGCTGGCAAATGCTAAATCATGTGTCTTCATGATCTCACGAGCCGCTTCAGTTGACGAGACGACCAGGCTTGGGACTGAGCCGATGTGGAGGAGCATGAGGGAGTCACCATAGCGTCTGGCCAGAGAAAAGAATGACTGGTGGACGAGTGCCCCGAGCTGGTGGAGGTTGCCAATAACCGGCAACGTTGGTGGTGAAGGTGGTAGTTTCCTGATAATAGTTGGCGGTGTAGAATTATACCATCTGATTAGGAAAGCAGCACTTAGAAACAACGGCAATATGTAAATACAAATATGATCCAAGAAAGCCAACATCTTGATTTACTAATGAGTGATGACTAGAGATGGAATTCAATGGTATGTGGAATTGTGTTGAAATGACGTGCTTTCTTCACTTGTTTATACGTACTTCAGATCTTGTGTTGTGTACAGGCGGCCGCACGCCAGAAAGGAACCTCCATTCACGAAACAATAACTCATTGCCCCGTTTCCATGTAAAAACAAAAAGAAAACAATCTAAGTCCGCCATAAAAGAAGATTTGGTACTATAGATATAAAACGGATTATAAAATTATCCACTAATATATTACACTCATATTTAGTCAATTATATAATCCGCCCTTTAAACTTGTTTAATATAATATGCATTTCATGTGGATAAAGTATGTAGTATGATTGACTAAAACTACCACAATTATAAAGATCAAGGAGTTAATTAAAAATCTTCAAAACAATTAAAATTCAGATATGTAAAAAGCAGCAATTAATTAACAGAAACTGGAATAAACTTAAATACATAGTTTAAAGTATATATAACACTAAATATATATTACCGACAAGTTAATTATAGAGATTTATAAAAATAGTATATGACTAATATTCGATATTTGTTTAACTTTCAATTTGAGATTCAAGAAATTTCTTATCGTTTAAAATGAGAGATTTAAGTGATTCTCTATGATTTTAACACCTTAGGCCTTTAATGAATGTAAATTTGTTAGATTGTCGTTTCACAATTCCATTTAATCAATGTAAAATTTATTATCTCATTGTCATTTCACAATTTGCCGTTTAATCACTGTAAATTTATTACATTATAACCAACAGATGATTATGGTCGTTTCTTCAATAATTGGTATGAGAGCTTTTAGGTTTTTGATATTCTTTCAAGATTGTTTACTGATATATGTCTTTAATGAAGTACCGCATTCATTTGCTAGATATATTTCCTTATATCCCAGTTAAAAATGTTTTTCAGGTACTTTAGTAATTCGTGAGAATGATAAGGTTTAACTGTACATACGTACATTCACAACATGTCCCTACATAATGAAAATTTACTCTGATATGTTTTAATAAATAAAAATGAAACATTTGGGTTGAAAATCGGGAGGTTCAAGTTTCTTATCAGAACCTTAGTTTGAGTGAACTGGATGAACACTCTTTTGATTTCAAACTCAAAGTAAGGATATGAGTAATTACTAAATCTTTTTATAAAAAGAACAATAAAACAATGTGATGCGTACAGTCAGCTAAAGCTCATAAAGGAAAGTGATTCACAAAATATCCATATTTGTTATGTTGTTAATATATGAAATGTTAAGAATGCATGCTAGTATGTAGGCTATGGATCTTTTCAAGAATTGGCGGTTAGAATTTAGATGCCTTATAGCCTAGAGTTTTGCCTATTATTTGTTGCTTAGAACCTGTATTAATATTAATTAGTTATTCGACAAGTACTTTAGGTTGCATGTTTCCAAGATTAAATAGATTTAGATTATCTGATTTGACGCTATTGCATAACTCTTGTTTGAGTCTAACTATCGTAGTGTCGGATCTTTCAGTCTAAAGGCTATTTGATTTTAAAGGCATGTAATCATATTCGTCCGATAATTAGTTAATATTAGTAGAAGTTCTTCCTCTGATTACAGTAGAGAAAAGAGAAAAGGAATCCTATAAGGATAGTCTAGGAAGTTTAATACATGCTCGATAGGACATATATTCATAACATATGGCGTCGGTAGACACGCAAGATCCTAGTTGTTGGGGTACAAAGCTCTCCATTTGGTGATGACCTGAAAGCTTCACCCTTTTTATGACATGTGTGGGAATAGCCTTGTGACTTATGAGCTGAGCTTTCCTATATATAGTAGCAGTTCAATATTTTTTTGTAGGTTAAGAGAGTTCCCATTTTGTATAGATAAGCAGATTAGTTTGAGAGAGAGTATTGTTGAAGAAAGCACATGCTACTACAAATTTGTTCTACTCCATTTTATCTATACAGTTATACTTAAATTGTAACACCCCAATTATGGTATGATATTTTATTTTTATTTATTGTTATTTTTCTTCAAGTTTTAAGGGGAACTCGACGAGTCGGTAGCTGGACTCGTCGAGTAGAATTGGGATTTTGAGCACGTTTAAGTTGGCGACTCGGCGAGTCTATATTCCGGACTCGGCCAGTCCGCCAGTCTGGATGAAACCCTAATTTCAAGGGTTTGTGCACTATTTAAACAACTTTTGAGGCCACTTGTCAGCTCTCATCACCCCTCAGAGCATTATTATCGAAACCCTAGAACTCTCTTTGCATTTTGTGTGATTTTGGTGTGTTCTTTGAAGATCTTGAGAGATAAAGGAAGGTAGATCAAGAGGAGAAGAAGGAGATCCTAGATCCTTGAGGCATATCAGGAGATAGTAAGGTATATCTTGGCCCTTTTCTGTTTCTATGCTTAAATCCCCTTTTTGAAGCCATTAAAGCTATTCTTGAACCATTTCTTGGCTTAGTAGTAGCATAGAGAACTCATGGAGTTGATTAGCCTTCGGATCTAGCTAGATTTGAATTCCAGAAGCTTAGATCTAGCACCTTTATGGATCCATTTTGCATGGAAGCTCTAGATCTACTATTATAGTGTGCTTTGAACCTTAAAACCTTCATTTGATGATATTTACATGTAAAGTTGGAAACTTTACGTGTTAATCAAGTCCCAGGAACCCATATCTATTAATGGTATGGACTGGTTTCAAATAGAATCGAGTATATAGTGTTTACATGCATACGACTCAGCGAGTCGTTCCTCAGACTTGGCGAGTCGAGTCGCGAGTCCCTTGTTTTTCCTTTTTCGAGTTGTGCCAAGTGGAACTAGTGAGTGAGAGATGGACTTGGTGAGCTAGAGGGTTACACTCATTCGTGGAAGAACTCGGCGAGTCAATTCCCTGACTCGGCGAGTCTAAGGCAATCTTCATACTTCAATAACAGACTCGACGAGTTGTTCATACAACTCGGCGAGTCACAGCTAGAATGATCATCTGATGAAGGAGAACTCGACGAGTTGTATGAATACAACTCGGCGAGTCGGATGCAGATCGTCGGAGTGTTAGTAGCAAAGAGGAACTCGCCGAGTTTGCGCCAAAACTCGACGAGTAGTAGCGAGTGGAATCAAGAAAGTAAGAGTAAGGACTCGACGAGTTGGCGACCCAACTCGACGAGTCAGGTCAACTGAATGTTGACTTTGATAGTTAGGTTGACTTGGACCAAGGGTAGGAGAGTCATTTTACCCTCAGTATTATTATCAGTATTTGATTGATGATGCTCATGGATATTGTAGCTGGGGTGAAACCGAAGCCGCAGCAGACAGCTTCCGGAGCAGTCCTTTCAGCAGCTAGGCTACGAGGTGAGTTTCCTTCCAGTAGGAACGGGTCTAAGGCCACAATGTCGACCCGTTTAGTTAGTAGTAGTTTCCGGACTTCAATCCGATGCAGTTTTTAGTGTGTTTGATGCCTTCGTAGCTCAGACAAGATTTATGTGTTATGTGTTCTGGGCTACGGCCTGACGTAGTATGCAATATATGAGTTTATGATGATGTGTGTTATGCTAGTTGATATGTGTTTATGCTATGCTATGATCAGTAAATTCTAGACTTCGGTCCGATGCAGTCAGTTCCGGACTTCGGTCCGATGCAGCTAGTTCCGGACATCGGTCCAATGCAGGGGACAAGGTCCCAGTCAGTTCCGGACTACGGTCTGATGCAGTTTCCAGGCTTCGGTCCGGTGCAGTGGGCAAGGCCCAGTACGTGCTTATATGTTTTTGTATGGTATGTGGTAGTTTGGGGGAGCTCACTAAGCTTCGTGCTTACAGTTTCAGTTTTGGTTTCAGGTACTTCCGCAAGTAAGGGGAAGAGCTCGGGATGATGACATCGCACACACCACAGCTTCAGTCTTTATCATGGGAGTTTGTTTTGATTCATAGTTTGATTTGATACAGTTGTTTCACAACATTTTATTATGAATCGAGATATTTGACGTATGGTTTTATGATATGACGATCAGTATATGATTTTTATTACTATTAAAAGAAAATTGGGTCGTATTTTAGGATGTTACATAAATGTTAACTTGTTCTTTTCGATTATGCACTTCTACATTTCCTCAATGCCAATCAAAGCTTCATGTCCTAACAATTGGTATTTGTAACGACCCAATTTTCAAGTTCAAAATTTTCATTTTTAATTAAACACTTTGCAAAACATTTGTAAATAAACAACATTCGATCATATCATTTCTTAAAACATATTTTGTGTCTGCAAAACCAAAACATGAAATCAACTATAATGTCAGAGTACAAATCCCAGAATAATCTCATAGTGCGAAAAACAACATGTGTGTATGAATTGCCACTACCGCACCAGCTCCTTCCCCTTTGATGAAGAGGTACCTGAAACCAAAACTGTAAACTGTAAGCACGAAGCTTAGTGAGTCCCCCCCCCCATCGTACCACATACCATACAATCACATAACATACTTACTGCCAGGCAATTCTAGGGCGCCCGACCTACCCGGTACGACCATTTTGGGGTGCCGAACTACCCGTGCGGTCATTCTGGGGTGTCGTCCTACCCGTGTCAAGCAATTCTGGGGTGTTGACCTACCTGTCGGTCTTAACAATCGACTCTCGGGGACTATTCCATCCTATACTACTACTATCACATATATCATAACATAAAAATATTATCAGACATATCTGGGGTGTTCGAACTACCCTTCGGTCATAACAACCAAACTTGGGGACTATTCCCCTCCTACTACTGCTATCACATATAATATATCATGCCATCATATAAACATATAATCACATACTGTCAGACATATCTGGGGTGCCTGACCTACCCTTCGGTCCTAACAACCGAACTCTACTACTATCGCATATCATGACAACATACAACATATCAGGTAGTAGCAAACCTAGATGATATCACAAAGACAATCATCTAACATACAACTCCTACTGGTAGGCCGGCATTGTGGCTGTAGATCCACCG